GTAAAGACCATCAACCTTGACCCAATCACCCGATTTGACAGTGAACTTGAATTCTCAAGAAACGGGTTAGTGCCACTGCAAGGCTCTCGTGGCACTAGGTACTGGACGGCAACTGTCAGGGACAAGGAAAACATGGCGATTGGAAGGACACTCACGCACCCGTTAGATGTTGCTTAACTGGGCATCAAGACCCTCTGGGCAAGACTGAGGAAGAGAGAGGTGTACGCAGGCCTGCTCAGATCAGGTCCCTCTCGTGCCTGAGGCAGGCTTGCCTCATTCACATCTTTAGCGCCTGAGCATGCTTCATGGGACTGAAGCACTAAAGCCCTTTGGATGTGTTCATAGCTGAAGGCAAAGGAGAAGCCAAGCAGACTAGGTCTACAGGGACGAGAAAGAGGAACTTCTCTACTGTAAACCAGGGGTTAGAGACATCTCAGCCGGCTACTTCTGCCTCCTCCTGAAGCTCTGAACTAAGAACTTTCCAGGCTGGCATAGTTGGGATTCTGGAAGTCCTTTGTAGATGCCCAGTGATAGCATCTCATGAAGGAGGCTCTTTCTGGCTCCAACTATTTTGCTGCGGCTTTAGACAGATGCATTCCCTTCCCTGAACCACAGTGCATTGATCTAAGGAAAAACAGTTAGGTAGAATGGTTGCCAAGGCCTGACAACCCTAAGTGGGTGCGTCTGGGGAGCCTGGGACTTGCCCAGTTATGAGAAGTTGGCAGTTGAGTTTTTGGCAAAGTCCAGAGAAAAAAAACAGACTTTCTAACTCTTAGCGTAGGGGTCAGCAAGAATGGTCCAGAGGGGTTGGGGTGGGAGTTGGGGGGTAGAGGCAGCATCTATAGTCATAAAAAGCAAGCAGTACCTTCTCAGAATTAGGTGTCCTGGCTGGCCTTCACTGAAGAAAAGGCTTTTGTATCAAGTGAGTTGTAATTCAAAGAGCTGGGGGCTGAGGACCGGGTCTGCTGGAGTAGGTCTTATTGCTCTATTGTTGGTTGAACAGCTAGCATGTGGCTGGGTGCTTGTACTCATGGATCCAGACCCTAGTGTTCAACCTGTAACAGTAAATAGTTTTTGTGCAATGCATTCTAAGCCTCACAGAAGAGTTCCTTCTCCTGAAGCTGAGGATCAGAGACATTAAGTAGTTTGCCTAAAGTCACACAGCTAATTTCCAAACACCTGAATTAGACACTGTCATGTCCTCTGTGCTATTTCAATCCCTCTGATTCTGAAACCCCAAAGCTCCCTTTATTTATCAAAGTGAATGGATTGATGGATTTTTTTCTTGCCCATTATTTGCTAGTATGTCAGAAACAATTGATTCAGAAAGCAGCACTAAGCTGTCGGTCATTCACAAGTCAGTCTCTTCCAACAATAGGCAGGAAGCAGGCTATTCTCACAGGAAAATGGGCATCTCTCCTTTCTGGCTAGCTCAACCCTTGAGCCCGGAGCCAGGCCTGCAGGCACCCAGAGAGCTCACACAGACAGCGGCTAAAATCAACTGTGGAATGCTAGTCCTTCGCTGGGAGGAGGAGAGCTTGACCTCAGACCTCCTGGTTCAGGTATTGCAGGTCTCCACGTCCGGTCCTGAGTGACAGACATAGCTCGCCTTGTCCCACTTTAATTGGCAATCCCCAGAGATGTGGTCAGCCAGCACCCTGGAGGCCAGGTGACACTGTGATAGCCTTGGTGACTGCTGGAGTCCATGACTCCCTGCTGCCTGTACCCCCTAGCAGCCAACAGAGGTGAGGAAGAGTCGGCAGGAAGGCAGTGGGCATCTTAAGTGGAGATGCTTAAGTGGAAGCGTCAGGGAAGGATGGGAAGGACGAAAGAAAAACAACCAAGAACAGGGGCAGAGCAGGTGTTATCTCCAACAAGTCTCGGTCCTTTTCTAGGTCTCGGTCTCCTGGTCAAAGGAGTTGGACTGGCCGGTGTGAGACCTCTTCCCGTTTTAATGCCCCGAGACTTTGGGCCAGGGCTGGGAACAGCGATACGAGTGAGGCAGCTAAGAGATGAGAACAGTGACCGGTGTCAGGAACCCAGCCAGACACCGCTGGAGCTCCAAGACAGTGGCAAGGCAGAGCCCCAGGACTCAATGAGTGACGTGGCTCCGTGAACATCACCTGCACAGGAGAAACAGGAGCCAGAGGGTATCCCTCTTGGGGTTTTCCACTCTGTACTACAGACTCCTCACTGGAGCTGCTGAGTGAGGAAAGGACCTGGAGGGGTGGCCGCGGGTTACAGACTCCAAATGTCTCTGCTGGCCCAGGGGTGAGGGTGGAGACCTGACAGGAAGGCAGAAAGTCCAGAGCTGTCCCTAGAGAGCAACAGATCAGGCTGTCTGGGTCAAGACTCCAGGGACAATGGGTAGAGAAGATGGAGGCCACTTAACCCGCTACTGTGAAAGTCAGGCTGGTGTGCCTGCTAGCCCCAGGGCCGGCGAGGTCAGCCTGCACACAGGGGTCCTGGTCTCTCCTCTGCCGAGCATCCCTGGGTTTCAGGTCTCCTGACCCTTAGTGTCTTCCGCTGCCCTTTCTTCTCCCAGGCCAGTCTGGCCATGCTATCCCTAAACCTTGGCCAGGAAGCACCCGTGTTAGTGATGAGGAGTAACCAGGAGTCCCTGTGATGGACATGATGATGGGGCACTGGGAAGAGGAGACGGGAACCAGCTGGATGAAGACTGTGAATCTTTGAGTCAAGTGATGCTTTTTAGGTGGTACTGAGTTGCCTTGGAGCCCATGGAATCACAGTTCTGCATGGTGTTGCTACAAACTGGACCAGAGAGGGTCCTTCTACTTCCTAACTTTTCACAGGAGAACAATGAGAACCAGAAGGAGGAAGTGTCACGCCCAAGGTCACATAGCTGCTCAGGGCACCAGCCCCAGGTTTCCCACCCCCAGGTCTGGGTTCTATTGTCACGTGATCAGAAGCGAGGGAAGGAGCTGATGGAAGCCGCTGCTGCCTCCTCACGCTGCCTTCAGGTAGGATGGAGCCTTCCAGGCCTCCTCCCTCAGATTAACTCTCTGGATCTCATCAGTCTCTTTGACCTGACCTCAGGGGCAGCTGGGATTCTTGTACATGGCCACTGCACAGTGGGGCCATGATACGCAGCAGGAAGCTAAGCAGAGAATATTTTTAAACTGTCCAACATGCCTTATGAAGAAAAAAAAAAACCCCACAACCAACACATTCTCCTAGATGCTGTGGAAAGCATTTCCAAGAGATCCCATGCCTAAAGAAAACATTGTAAAACACTGCTGGGTTTTTGTTTTTAAAGGGCCAATTCCCACTTAGCAAAAGTTCTTGGAAATGGACTAGTGACCCACTTCTTAAGATGCCCCCAGAGCACCGCGATTCCACAGGGACAGACTGCCCCTGGCCCCGCTCGCCTTTCAAGACAGGAATCGGCAGCTTTACCAACCTCCCTATTTAATTTAGCCAAGCTTCACAGTGGCAGGAACAGAGATGGGCAGGGAATCACAGGTACGGAGGGAGACTTGCTCCTTATCCAGCCTCTGGAGAGGCAAGTCTCCGATCTACTTCCCGCTGAGGTGTCGTTTTTTTTTTAGCTTTTAAAGTTCAAGTCCACCCTTACCTGCTTCTCCGCCTCTCCCTGGAGTTGGCGTCTTGGCGCTCTGGCTGCCGTTCAACTGCCCACGGTCATTTGCTCCTGAGCCTGTCAGTTTCCCCTCCCACCCTCTTTTAATCGGTATCCCGAACCCTTCCTCCTCCCACTTCTTCCTCCCCTTGCTCTCCCCACCCCTTTCCCCCTCTGGGTCCCTCCCTCCCCTCCCTCTCTTTTGCGCTCTTAGAATTTTGCGCTCATTTAAAAGTCGCCCCCCCTTCCTCTCCTCCCCCGCCCCGCCGCCTCCCCCCCCCACGCAGCCCGGAGGAAGATACCCCCTCTGCTCCCCCACCCCGCTGCCCTCTGCTGTCCTGGTGACTGTCCTTGTCCTGCCGGGCAGTGCCCTGCGCTCGCTCTTTCCCAGCTGGCTCCGGCACAGCCTCCCTGGGTCTTTTCCTGCCCACCTCTCTGCTGAGGCTTCAGAATTCTGCTTTCCTGAAGCGCCCCCACGGAAAAAATCCCTCTCCCCCATCCCTTTTCTGTCGCCAAAAAAAGAAGGTGTCCGTCCACACAGCCAGCCCTCAGAGAATCCAGGGAAATGTAATTCTTTCACGTCACAGTTGCTTGGCACCCAGAGTGGACACAAGGCTTCACCTGAATGGTGGAAGACCTTGACCTGGCGCTCCAAATGGTGGAGCTGCCTTCCCCACCACCCGGAGTCGTCTCTCTCCCTCGGCTCCTCTAACCGGAAGACGGCACCGTCTGCATGCCTGGTCCCGGGGCTAGGGGCTTCACATATGTGGCCTGTTTTATTCCACTTAATCATTCCAGTTTCTGATTCACCCAGGCAGGCGTTTTTCTGCAATGCCCCCGAGGAAACGGAGGGTCAGAGAAATCGAGTAACAGAATCAGCTGAGTGTCAGGTTAGGCTTAAAAGTTTTAGCCAATGCTAAAATTCACCTCCTTGGGCAATCTAAAGAAGTGGGTAGATGACCCTGGTGTAGCTGAACCAGTGAGGGATCTTAGTATCTGATTCGTCACGGGAGAGCAAATTCAGAAACCGTGGTGCCTCCGTCACCTCAGACCACCTCCTCTTCCGACTTGTACCAATTCCTCTGTTTGAGCTTTAAACCCTGGGTCCAGTGGGGCTGTGACAGATGTCAGAAGTGGGGGTTACTTTAGTCAGAAAAACCAATGACTAAGAGCCCACAGATATGACAGCTGGGGCAAAGAATCTCAGCCAGGGAACCTGAGGGACAGTCTAGACTCCTGGACAGTGTCACATACCACAGCGGTGGCAGGTGCCAGGCCAGCACACAGATCTGCCTCCTGCTCCACATAGCCATCTACTTGGTGCCTTCCCCATCCAGAGCCAGTCACAAATGGACTCTATTTCCCACAGGTGAATAAGCTGAGGGCCAGCAGGAGAGGACAGAACACGGGGCTTCCTGTACTGGACCCCGGGGAAGGGAAATGGCTCTGTGAGAAACAAGTGCAGAGTCTCGATCCCTTAGCAAGAATGTCCTGCGCCAGCCTGCCCAGGTTTGAGTCCTGGCTCTGCCACTTGATGCCCTAACACAGGGCAAGGCACCCTCCAGGAAGCTCGGGTTCTTCATCTGTGTTCTGGGGGTAATGATTTCCACTTCTCAGGGGCGTCCCAAGAACTGATGAAGGTCTGTAAGGTCTGAGGTGAGTGGCTACTACAGGGAGGGGCAATGGGTCTGACTACAGCACACAGCCCAGTGTGGTACAGCATGGAGCCTGCTCCCCGCCTCCCCATGCTGACTGTGGCTGGGATAGAGTTCAGCCCACCACGCCAGCACAGAGAGCCCCGGGTCCCAGTTTCCCTTCCAGGTTGCCCCCATCCTGCGACTTTGTCCCTATTTCCCAGCCCTTCCACACAAGGCACTTGGTTGGGTGCTGGTTAGCCAGAGACAGCCTTAATTACTGGCATTTAGTTTCTGCTTTGGCCACCCCATGATCTATGAGTTAATATTCCATTAAACCCTCTCCCCACTTCCGATCACCCCCAGGTGAGACTTTCTGGGATCTTAACTGGCTGTCTCTGGCCATTTTCCTTTGAATACCTGGAAGGGAAGACATGCCTAGATACAGGCACACTCATGAGGCTAGACAGTCCAGAGCACAGCAGGCACATGCCACCACCTTACCTGGAGAAGAGAGAATAAACCAGCAGAGAAACTGGGTGAGCCGTTAGAGACTCCAGGAAGCCATGCTCAGGGCTCAGCATGGCGTCACGACAGAGCATACTGTGATGCACCCACAATACGTGGTTTTGAAGGACTTTGGCACCATGGTCTATTTCTTGCCAGACTCTCTCTGGCACTAAGGCCAGGATTCTGACAAAAGTAAGGAAAATGTCATTCAACCTGTAGGTCCGGAGTAATTTTCTAAAGGGACCCAGTACAGCTTGTCACCACAGACCAGAGAACATCACAAGCAGATTCCTGATGCCCTAGAAAGAAATCCACACAAGGGCTGGGGGCAGAACAATAGTTCTGCGGTGCCCTCTCCTTTCCTCCTCATGTTCAGTGGAGGAAAGAGCCCTAGAAAGAGGCATTGAGGGTGGGCTCCACATGTTAAAGATGGTACTGCAAAGCCAGCTCTGCTCAGCACCATGCCAACATACTTCGCAATTTTTTCACTTTGAGATGAAAAAATAGAAAAATGATCTTTTTTAAAAGATTTACTTTCTTTTTAATTATTTGTATGTGTGTGTATTTGTGCGGAGATGTGTGCACATGAGTGCAGTGCCTATCCAGGCCAGGAGAGGGTGCCAGATCTCCCTGGATCTGGAGTTACAGTTACAGTTACAGCTGACAGTCATGATAGCTAGGAACTAGGGTCCTCTGTAAGACCAGCAAGTGCTCTGAACTACATTGAGCCATCGTTCCAGCCCATAGAAAAACAATCTCATGAAAACCATATGAAATATATATATACATACACATATACACACACACACATATACACACACACACACATATCACAGCCTTGACGAAGACTCATTGGCCACCTCTTTGGACTCAGTCAACACTGAGAAACAAAAGCCACGAGGAACTGCTGTTCTAATTGCAAAATAGAGTTCTTAATTATAAAAACAATTGATATAAACACAGTATTGTATATATAATAAATTGCTAAATCATGTGAGGGAAAAATCCTTTGTAAGAGTGTGATTGATGTGTTATAGCAAAGGAGTGAACGTTTTTACTTCACAGTGCTGGCGGATAAACAGGATGATATTATTCCCATTTTAGTGTAAAGAAGTTCAGACTCAAAGAAGTTGAGTAACTTGCCCAAGGTTATTTAAGACATGGAGAAAAGTTCTACCTGAGGCGAAGGGTCATCACTTTGTCCCACAGCTGTAAAGAAAGTAGAGACCCCACTGGCCTAGTAAGAAAGGGGCACGGGATACCCCAAGTAAGAGCATGAAAGGAATGGGTGCCACTCCTGACAGGAGGACTGTTCCCTGTAACTGCAGGGGTGACTCAGCACCGCCTGAGATTCCCACATTCTCCACTGAGGTTCTTAAAGGTGGCATCTCAAAACTCGCTTCTTTCCCCCTCTTTAGAAGCAAGGGGGTGGGAGGAGACATATTTTCCATGTCCCCTTCACCCGGTGAATCTCTGGCTCTTCAGGTTTCCCTCTCAAGATACTGCGGTCCAGATGTTTGAACAGCCACCTCCTTTACATACATGAGAACACGTGCAAGTAATTTCTGCCAGCGCTAATTGCAAGAGCAAAAGGAGTCCCCAGCGCCTAATTGGAGGGTGTAAATGGGTAATTGGAGCTGTGGTTAGTGGGCTGAGGTCACACTTCTCTGCTGGTTGGGATGCAAACAGGGCAGCCTTAAGCCATTCCTTTAGGACTTTTACTTTCCCCAACGGTGGTCAGGAAAAGGGACAAGAACACCTTGTTCGGAGAAGCAGAAAGAAAAAGAAACATGGACTCCCTCGATCCTGTTCCTTCATTCTCTATTCTCATCACATTTCAAGTGCTAATCCCAAAAGACAAGGTTAAAATCGTGTCCTGACCTAATCGGGCTTAGGGGTCCTCTGAACTCTTTTGAGGTGGCCTGAGCCAAAGAAGAGGAGGAAGAGCAGGACTCACCATCCTCACCCTCATAGTCATCATCACCACCCCTAACACCAAGCCATCTGGATTCTTTCCCACTGAAGTCAGACTATGGGGCAAATACTAGGTCCGTGAGAGTCCAGGACTGGACATTTCATTCTATAACAAAAATGTGGGATCTTTGCCTGGGGCATCTTGGGCCAGTCAGCGTTTGCTCTCCAAGTCCAGGAAACCCCTGAAACTAAACTATTGAAAATCTTAAACATTGTGCCTCTTACAGACAAGGTCTAGAGATTACAACCTACCTACCTTCCCTCCTTCTTTCCTTCTCTCCTTTCTTCCTCCCTTCCTTTCTTCCCAGGGACGGCATATGAAAAGCCTGACGTGTTGCCAGTGGAATCTATGCTGGAGGTACCCGAGACCGAGGACTTCAATCCCTCCAGGCCTGCCCCGCCTGCCGGATATTCCACTAAGCCAAGGAAAAAAACAACCCTTGTGTCCTGAGGGCAGACTTTATGGCGTACGCATGTCATGTTCTCACCCATCCAACTGTCACCGGTTCTTGTGATCCTCCTACTCTATTGTTCTTTATGATTTTCTTTCTCTCTCCTGCAGTGGCTTCCATGACATTAGAAATGATTCTGAGATTGTGACAACGGCAGGAGTTAGAGCTGCTATGCAGGTCATGGGGAAAACCCAGAAGGCTGGTGGCAGAAAACTAGATGGAGTGACATATAGATGGGACAGAAGACAAGAGTGGTCCAGAACTAGTCAGAAGACAGCTTGACGAGTTACAGAGAGATGAAGAAGGACTTAAGCTGGGAGGAAGCTGAAGTCTGGAACCTTAAACCATTGCTTGTATTTCTGGGCTTTCTGAGAAACCGCAAGTAGATGGCCTCTGGGGTGATAACCTCAGATGCTCTGATAATTATTAACCTGTGAAATAAGCTGGTATACTTTGGCTTTCTTCCTGGGAGCTATGTGCAATCAAGGGGCACGGGGTACACTTTGCTGATTTCCAAAAAGAACTTTCGAAACTACTGTGAAAAACCCAATCACCTGCTGAATGTTCTCATCCCCCATTTCCTTGTATTATTACAATAAAAGACTGGAGTTGAGTCGGATCGGGAGAAGGCGGAGAAGACACACATCTCCAGATCTGACAAGACTCGTCAGCTTGCACCAACCCGTGTGTCCGAGTCTTTTCTTGTGACTGCCAGGCGTCCCTGCCCTTCGAGACCCTCGAGACTGCTGAGGCTGGTCCCCAGCACTTCCTCCCTCCCTTCCTTCCTTCCCCTTCCTTCTTCCTTCCTTCCTTCCTTCTCCCTTCCTTCCTTCCTTCCATCCTCTTCCTTCCTTCCATCCTCTTCCTTCCATCCTCTTCCTTCCATCCTTCCTTCCTTCCTCCCTCCCTCCCTCCTTCCCTCCCCTCTTCCTTCCTTCCTTCCTTCCTCCCTCCCTTCTTCCTTCCTTCCTTCATTCCTCCCTCCCTTCTTCCTTCCTTCCTTCTTCCTTCCTTCCTTCATTCCTCCCTCCCTCCCTTCTTCCTTCCTTCCTTCTTCCTTCCTTCCTTCCTTCCTTCCTCCCTCCCTCCCTTCTTCCTTCCTTCCTTCTTCCTTCCTTCCTCCCTCCCTCCCTTCTTCCTTCCTTCCTTCTTCCTTCCTTCCTTCCTTCCATCCATCCTCTTCCTTCCTTCCTTCCTTCCTTGCTTCCTTGCTTCCTTCCTTCCTTCCTTCCTTCCTTCCTTCCTTCCTTCCTTCCTTTCTTCCTTTACTCTACCAAGGGATGCATCCTTGACTCCTCCTGCCCCTCTACCTCACACGGATCAAAGAGGACTTGCTTCTCCTCCAAGTGCAAGGTCAGGTGCTAGGTGGTTATACTGGTTAGTTTTTGTAAACTCGACATAAGCCAGGATTATCTGGGAAGAGGGAAGCTCAATTGACAAAATGCCTTTTTAGATTGGCCTGTAGGTCAGTCGTGGGCTCATTTTCTTGATTAATGATTGACCTGCAAGGGCCCAGCCCACTGTGGGGGATACCACCCCTAGGCTAGTGGTCCTGACATCTATAGGAAAGCAGGCTGAGCAAGCCATGGAGAAATAAGCTAGGAAGCAGCCCTCCTCCATGGTCTCTGTGTCAGCTCCTGCCTCCAAGTTCCTGCTTTGAGTTCTCTCGATGATGGACCGACCATAAGCAACCCGACAGGCGAGATAAACCCTTTCCTCCCGGGGTTGTTTTTGGGCAGGTTTTTAATCAGAGCAACAGAAGCCAGCTAGGACAGTGGTCTCGTGACAAAATCTTAAGGTACAAGGTTGAAGAACTTCCTGCTGTGCGCTCCGACTCTTAGATGTAAGTGGAGGTACAACACTCTGTGCCCTTCCTGAAAATTTAGCCATAGATGCTCAAAACCCTAACCTAAGGACAGAAGTTTTACATCTCCACGTCAGTCTCTAGGTTCAGTTTCGGCTCCCGGGGTCAAGTTATCACAGGGAATGAGAGCATTTAGAAAGTTTAGGTTTTCCAAAGGTTAGGCTCATATCCAGTCAGCTAAACATTCGAGATAAAATGGGAAGGACGTCCACTGGGGTGACAGATACCAGTAGGATATACTGAAAAGTGCTGGATTTCAGGGGATTTGGGGAGATGGCTCAGTCAGCAAACTGCTTCCCGAACAAACATGAGAACTCAAGTTCAGACCCCCAACACCCAAGTAACATCTGGGTATGGCGAGAGGCATAGGCAAAGGAGCATTGGAGACTGTGGGCTGCTGGTCTTATTAAATCAGCAAGGCACAGGAACAAAGGGAGATCCTGCCCCCACCCCACCCCACCCCCAAATGAGGTAGGAGCAATAGGGAAAGACAGCTGACGTTGATCTCTGGCCTCAACACTCAGGTGCACGTATATGTGCACACAAATCTCCACCCACACACAAACACAGAGACTACTGGCCTCAGGCCAGAAGTTCATTCAGTGGTAGAGCAATTGCCTAGCATGTCCAGGGCTCTGTGTTCAAAGCTCAGTATCACAAAAATAATAACAGTACTGGCTTGGGCTCAGATTTTGGCTATACCACTTAACATTGATGTGACCCTCTTTTTCACCTTTAAAATGAAGGCAATGTTAATAAACACCAAACCTTATGGGCTTGCTATTGAATGAGATAATCTTATTTGGACTGTAGTGAGTACTATATGAATACTCTCTTTTGTGTATGTTCATATAATATGTAATATAATATACATCCATATATACACACTACATATAAATGAATCAAAAAGAAAAATATTAAAGTCTGCTTATACTCCACTTTCTAAAATAATCAAGAAAAAGTCAATGATGTTCTGTCTACTTCCAGAGAAAGCCTAGGGGAATGTTTTCTAACAGAAAGGACGGGGCCATTCAGCTAAGAAGACCACCTGTGAACCTGTGGAGGAAGGAAGATTCAAAGATGACTTCCCCATGGGCCAGATGTGTTGGCTCATGTAATCCCAGCCCTTAGGAAATAGACAAAGGAGGTTTAGGAGTTCAAGGTCATCCTTGGTCAGGCCTGCGCTATGGACGACAATTCCCCAACCCGAGACCCAACCTTACCCTAGCTCTGGAGGACCGGAGGGAGATGGGGGTCTTGCCTTTCAAGTTCACAGCCAACAAAGTTGAAATGTACATTCTTACCCGGCAGAAAGACTTGATTCTCAGGGGACAGACCAACGCTCTCCTGGATCAAGTCTCTCTGTTCCCGCAGAGGTTGTTTGAGAGGACCTAGCTTGATGTCAGATGTGAGATAGAATCCCAATCCTGTCCCTTGCTAATTGTGTGGTTTCAGGCAAGTCATCAGGCCTCAATGTTTACATCTCTTAAATGGTCATAGCATTACAATCTTTCACAAATTTGTTCTTTGGAAATTATACACCTTAATTATTGTTATAGGCTCTTGGGGAGGGGGTGAGATCTCAAGAGACAGGCAGTCCCAAAAATCCTTCCCATTCAGTCTTGCCTGCTCAACAGTCTTCCAGGAGCCTTTAAAGTTCTTAAGAAAGGCACCTTAGACCAAGGGTGTTGTGCTCCAGAGCTGGCCAGCTCAGCCCTGCCCTGGGTCCAGCACCTCAATTTGTAAAGAAGGAATTCCGAGGCTATCTAAAAGGAAGTCAAATTGTTTTCGGAAAACAATAGCCAAGTAACTACAAGTCATTAGCTTCCTCTCAGGGGCCTGAAATCAAGCTTGTCTGGATAGCTGAAAGGGCTGTTAGCACTGTTTACTTAAAGACCTCTGGACAGGACCCATAAATTAATTCCTGTGCCTGGCTTTCTGGAAGAGGGGGAGGTGAGTCATGGAAGTGGGAGAATGCCTGAGACTGGAGTGATTCCTGTTTCTTTAGACGCAGCTGAGTCCCTGAGGCTGGACCTGCCTCTGCTGGTCCTCTACGTGGAAGTTTCATTGAGATGGATGTGAGCGTGTACCCTTCAGGCAGCTGCATTCTCAGAGGCTCTGGACGAGTTAAAAAAAAAAAAAAGGCAAAAATGCTGGTTTCCTGCCTCCTCCTGAAGGCTCCTGGGAAACCAAGTATTTCTCAGACAAATGCACAAACGCCCTGGAAATCCCTCTCTTGGTGAGAAGAGTATGGCTTACAAACCACATCTTCTCAGAGTGATCTCTCAGAACTACAATTGCTTGGACACTGGATACAAAGAAAATGCACAGACAAGCTGGGCAGCCCAGGGCCCTGAAGCCCTGACAGGCTGAACAATTTGTCTAGGAACAGACGTCAGCTCTCTCAAGGAGTCTAGGAAAATCTGGGGACTTCCCTGAGGGCTGAACCGGGCTGGTAATTGGTAGTAGATCCACCTACATCTGTTAGAGGACTTAGTGAAAGTCCCTGAGCTTAACCTACCAACACTAGAGAAGAGAGGTTATTTCTTGATCTCTCTCAGTCTTGAACATCTTGACTCTATGCTCGAGAGAGCTGTAGTTTCTAAAAGAAACAGGAAAGAGCGGCTGTAACACTTGTCTGCTGTCTGCTCTCTCTGGAAAAACCGGGAGAACCTGAGCTGTGGTAAAGTGTTGGCTGCAGCAGTGTGAGAACCTGAGCTCAGATCCCTACAATCCAGGCATGGTGGCCCGTCCCTGGGATTCCTGTGCTGGGGAGACAGACAAGCTTACCTCTGGGGCATTCTGGCTAGCCAGCATAGCCTAGTCACAGAGCTCCAAGGGTCAGGGAGAGAGAGAGAGACCCAGTCTTAAAACACAAGATGGGCACACCTAAGAAATAACATCTGGTCTCCATGTGAACAGGCACAGGAAATCACAAGAAACTTAAGATTTGGTGTGGAGGCCAGAGGAACTTCATGTTACATATGTGGACCCCTAAAATATCTTAGGTAGGCATCATGGCGTATAGAATCCTATCTAAATCACAAACGCTCCTGACCCAGAAAAGGTCAAAGCTCACTGCTCCAAGTCTAACTAATCAAGGTTATTTCCCACAAACCTCCAGTTAGTGAAATGGCAGAACCAATCTAGCAGAGGCCAGCATGTTCTTCCTCTTCCTTGACCTAGAAACCTCATAGCAAACAGGTTGAAGTCTGTCCCCTAATATGAGGTGAATGTTTCTCTTGAGTTTCAGACGCAAGAACCTTCAGCCCACACCTGCAGGGGGGACACCCTCTCCTTGACTCCTTCCCTCTCTTTCTAGAAAAGGGAAACACATTTATTATCCATCTGAATTTCTTAATGCCAGGACTGAACCGCTCAGCAGTG